GTGAAAGAGCAAAGAAACAGCGATCGGAATTATCCCGATTTCACTGATACCACGCGGTCGGAAGGCCGCGAGTGCCCGCAAGGCCGTGTTTACGCTACCTATGTTGAGGCTAGAGAAGTGAGCAGAGTAATCCTGATTTCCCGTTTGGAGTTCTCTGTTGACATCTACCCCATGGCGCTAATATGACCTTGCCTTATGCAGTTACGAGCACTGTAAAACCTTACTAAAACTGAAACGCCAGATGGCGTAATGGGTAGTAAGAATAAGAAGAAAACTGAAACTCTGTTCTGTTGCGTTTGTGTGGCTGTTCTTCAAGTCTGTTCTGTTGTTCTGTGAAATTTGCTCACCCCATCAGCTTTGTCCATTTCATGCTGTTACTAATTAAGTGTAATATAATACATGAGAGCACAAGACAGAGACGATCGAAGGGAGGTGAAGGTAGAAGCAATGGTAGATTGCATAGGTTTACGCCCTTTTCAACACTATGGGGTTATTTGGAAGGCGGGACCTCTGAATTTATCATCCATCTCCTAGAGGACTGAGCCAAATTTGTCGAAATCCTTAAGAACTCCAAAAAACAAGCTAATTTCAGAAAGAATCATTGGGGTTTTGAACCAGGGTCATCTTCTCCAAATTCCACCTGATACCAACTGAGCTAATGGAGCATCCCGGATGTGAAGGGAAACAGAGGTAGGGACAGAATGAGACAAAGCAACCTTGTAACAGGAGGTGAGGTGAAAGAAAGGAAGGGACGGGAAAAGAGGGAGAGAGCAGCACACCTTTACATCCTTTTGCCTCAACATATGAATGTGTTTCTAAGGCCGACCATTCATATGGAGACACGGCATACGGCTCACAACGGGAGGTGGGGGAGATGTCATAGCCAGTTCACAAGCGCTCTTCTGATACATAAAAACCCATCATCATCTCCGAGTTTGACTTGTATAGACTTGTCATCTCCCCCAAAAATTTGCTCCTAGTTGACCTGTGACCTCAGACACCGTAGTTGATAATAATCTTTATTTCCTCCGACAGCATTCGTGAAGAGTGACCGTGTCAAGCAGTTCCCCGGTCTGACGGTGCGCTATGTGCGTGGCGCCGATCCGGTGATCAAGCTGCTGGACAAGAACCACGAGGTCGTTGAGACACTGGGAATCGACAAATGGAACACCGACTCTGTCGAGGAGTTCTTCCAAGAGCACCTCCAGAACTAGGTCGCCCGACAGCACATGCACACTCATGTGCGACCAGGAGAACAAAAGGAAAATGAAGATGGTTTTGTCTTTTTTTACATATCCGCGTACAAAGACACATTTGAAACTTTTTAAAGGAATTATTATTTTCTTGATGGGTTTTTAGTTGGCCTTTTTTTTTTAGGTTATTGTTTTTTGGTATTAAATGAAAACAAGCGTGAAATTCAAAATTTTTAGATAAAAGTCTGGATAGTGTGGAACATGTTGAAACTAATTTTTTCATTTTCCTTTTGCGTGCCCTGACTGCAGTGGACTGGTTTTTTAATGAGACACTTGTTGAAGTACTTGGATTTTTTGTAATGTTTTCAGTGTAATTTCCTAATGTTATTTTTAGTTCGTATTGTTTTCTTCATTCAGTCACTTAGATTGTTTTCCCATTTTGTTGAAATTCAGTGAAATTCTCTTTTTTCATTTCATTATACTTTGTGGAGGAGAGTAAGATTAATGTCTTCATTTACGACTTGTCGACTGCAGTCAGAGGGAAGAGCTTCAAGATTCTGTACCGATGACGTTCGGGCAATAAACCTGTTGGTGTGTCTGAACTGATAGTTTTCTACAGGTCTTGAGAGTTACACACAACTCCTGACGTGACTGAGTCTACTCTGACTTGAGTGCTTGGCTGTATGCATGTGAAAGCTACAGAGACTTCATGTGAAAGTGATGTTTGTTAGTCTTGTCCCCCTCTCAATGGAAGACTTTTAAGAGAAAAAGAACACTTCACAGTAACTTCCTTGGCAGTCTTGTTTATTCAGTTTTGTCTTCTCTCCCTAGAAGGACAAGAAATGTGGCTGCCATCAGGTGCTTACAGCAGTAATTTTCTTAATTCCTGTCTCTGATGATTTCAAAGTTGTCATTAGCATCTGGGTGAACCGAGGAAGACAGGGTATCGTTCCCTTTAGGGGGTACACAGTCCTTTCCATCCCTTCCAGAATTCCAGCCAATGATCTTTGTGTGAGTTCGACACCTTAAATGCTAGACATTAAATTGTAAGATCTGCTTTGTACGTTGGATGCTATCATATTTGTGTAGCCCACCATGTGACATAGAGGGGTATCACATGGGCAAGACATTGCAGGGAACAGCTAGATAGTGTTTCTTATGATTTATGGTCTTTGAGGTCGTCAAGTGATGATTGTTTTATGAGAGTGAGTGTGTTTCCTGTTGTATATCTTTATGGTGGTGTAGATGAATGTACAAGTGTCTTCTGACATACTTAATGAGCTTCCATTTTCCTACTTGGATCACTTGATCACGATTAAAAAACGTTGGTGTTTGATTTGTTAAGTTTTTATACTTGAGGAACGTTTTTTTTTTTTAATGAGAGCAAGAAAACCTCCCAGTATGTTATAGAGTACAGGTCAGAGTTTGCCAGGGCATTATATTATTCATATCTTGTCTGTGCTTTCAGACCCCCATTCTCAGACTCTCTCATTTTGGAAAACGCTGTACATACTCGAATTGCACTTTGGTATAATGTATTTTCTCAAATCCACCTTGTATGAGTATGAGTCAAGAAAGTTCAGATTTATATAGATACATATTTTTTGAGTGCATAATCAGGAATATGTACTGCTGGGAAGTGTGAAAGTGTTCTTGAACTTGAACTTTATTTGAATATTTGCGTTGGATGCCAAAATTTAAATAATATTAGTGACTGGTTGGTTGTTTTTCGGAATAAAAGTGGAATTGTTTTAACATTTGTTTGAAAAGTTCTCTTTTGTTGTTATGATGTACTCACAAATTTATGTATATTTGTATGTATGCCAGTTTTTTTTGTTTGGGTAGATGTACAACAGTTACGTGTGGTATTCTTCTTTCTACTACAGTAGATGCCTAAGAGTCTGGTGTTTGGGAGCAAGGAAAATTCAGGATTTTAAAAGAAAAGGATCTCAGCCAAATAATCAGGGTGAAAAATCTACAGTGACTCATGGTCAGGCCCACAGTCAGCAAAACGGTTTCCTCTTACTTTGAAATGAACTGACGTGGCATCTGGGTATCTTTTCAGAGATCAGTCTTTACTTAATATGGGCTGAAGACCACAACTTATACTGAGCAAAGAGTGGTCAACCTTTTGACTGATGATAAAAGTCTCTTAATTCAACGAGACATGCCCTTTTTTATTTATCCAGTTCTTGGTCTCAGGATCTAGATCAATCCTATTTCTCCTCCTCTTCATCAGTCTCAAATGTAAAGATTTACATCTCTCATGTTTACCTGGTAACGCGTCTATATGTTGTGACTACATCAATTAAAATTCAAACGGATGAGATATTAATATGTTCCTATGCACAGTAGAATTGTAAATGGGCTGAATTATCAATGCCATGCTCATACTTTGCCGAAACAGCATAGGGGGAACTGCTACTTTTTCTTTCCTCATCCTTACTGTCGACATTTTTCCTCTACTTCTTTTGTATGTTTGTCAATCTCTTGTGAACTGCTATTTCTGGGGTGCCTTGATAGTCGAAGCGGACTTTGTGCTGTTGAGGCTAGAGAGATGAGCAGAGTGAGCCTGATTCCCCATTTGGACTTCTCTGTTGACGTCCACCCCTTGGCGCTCATATATGACCTTATGCAGTTACGAGCACCGTAAAACCTTACTAAAGCAATAAAACTAACGTAAATAATTCCTGTAGTCTGAAAAATAATACACCAATTCACAAAGCAAGTTGATGTTTGTGTCTTTAGACCTATGGAGAAGCCACGTTTTGGACTAAAGCCTCTTTTGCTTCTTTTTCAAATATTTTGAAATATAGACCTATTGTTAGACTTGTGATTTGTTGCCACGTTGGTATGCACTAGGTATACACAGTCCCAGCCTGTGCTGTGTGTGTGCCTTTGGCCAGGGTCGCCTCACTCAAGGCGGCCTCAAGGGTGGCCTTTGGATCGCATATCCCACGGACGGCCTGTGTCGTTTGAGGCCCGCAAGAGTTCATACCTCGGCATAATCCCATTTGGGGCAGATGTTGTACCCACTCATCGAGATTTGTAAAAGAGATGTATACATGTACACATCGGTAATAGATACTTTCCATTTAGGAAGTTAGAGAGTTCTAAGCCTGTGTTGTTCTTATTATTCAACATACATGTATAAAAACAAAATTTTACACAGACAAACTTCAAAGTATGTCAAGCAGTGAATTACCTTTTTTTTCTTGATCATGTTTCATGGTGACACCGGCTTGATTTCATAATTTCACGTCAGTAGCGGGTATTGTCGTCCTTAGCAATAATGCAAGCCTAGCATGTTCCGTTCATTGATGGTCAGTTTTTCTTTTCTCTTTAAAAAAAAAGTAATTGTTGTGGCAGTCTATTCTACTCTTGAATCAAAGCTTGTCCTAGTAGTTGTGCGGTGTTAATGTCGTTTTGGAAGCTCACTCTCAGGCCCTTGGGTGACACGTGTGGTGAGTAGGCTGGCAATGGCAAAATATTCACTTTTTGTGCTGTAGATATTGCACCTTTACAATGTGTGGGCGTGCATTGTCTTTGCTGGAATGTGTGCATACGTCTATGTGTTTGAAAGAAGGGAACCACGTCCGGAGAACATTCTGACTGGTACTCGTTGGTGTCGACCGCAGTGTTGAAAATGTGCGAATAGGTTCTGTGGTTGAAAGATATTCAACCCCTCACCATCACACTGCAACCGGGTTTTAAATGCATACATGTAGTATTAACAATTTTACCAGTTTTCTTTTAAAATACATACATTTCTTTTTCCCACCTTTTTTGGGGGTAGATCTAAGTGTTTTACGGCGCTCGCAACTGCTTAAGATCATATGAGCACGCGGGACGCATTAAACATTTTCAGTTGGTAGGAAATTTTGAATTTTGCCCGGGTGGCGGCCGAAGCCTACTCTCATCGATTTTAAACCATCATGGGATCTTTAACGTGCATTAAAAAATTCTAATTCGTTTAGGATAATACAAAAGACAAATTTCCACGTATGCAAAAAAACCCAACAAAAAAACGATGAATTTCAATGAGCAATAAGTGCGGTATTCATTACGTAAGACATGTCTACAAAATCCAATATGGCCGCCATATCCATGGAAACGCAACTTTTTTCTCAAATTTGATTGCGGATTTTAAGATTCCTTACTATGCTTGTTATATGTGTGAAATTTGGTAAAATTTGGTGCTGTAATAAGCGAGAAAGCGTTCAGGTGTACCCTCCCCACCCCCCTTAAACAAGGTCCGCTCCAGGCAGCGCAATCACCGGGCTGCTCTGAGCAACAAGTCAGCTACTTATACTGGTGATACACGCAGAAACAGTGCTAATTCAGCACGGAAAATTTCTCGGCGTGAGAAGGGAGCCAATTACAACCCTCAACCTCTTGCAACTCAACATCTGTGGTTTGAGGAACAAGAAAACAGAACTCCTCAAAGTCCTGAAGGACAGGCAGTTTCATGTTGGCCTCTTTCAAGAAACCCTACACTAAGGTACAGACCTGGACCTCACAGGATGCACCAGTTACGCCTGTACATGAACATGATGCCGCGGTGTAGTCACTTAACCTGCGAAACGATATTCAGGAAGATGTCGTACACTTATCATCTGCCCAACCGACAGATTCCCAGAAGGCCACCATATGGCACATTGGTAGGAAGTACACACTTTACAATGTTTACAGCCCCCCCCCCCCCCCCAAACAACATGCGACTTGTCTGATCTGCAAGCAGCCTACTATGAGAAAAACCATTTATGCGGGTGACTTCAATGGCCACTCCTGAATGGGGCTGTGGTGTATTTGGTTGTTTTTGGTTGTGGCAGGGGGTTAGGCCTAGCCTATTATATTGTTTGGCTGAAAGTGTGAGAGTGAGCAAAGTGTGAGTCTGTGTTCAGTAGTATTGTTTGCTAGTTGTATAAAAGTCTGAGTTACACTGGTGGGACTTTGAGAGGAGAGAGTTGTATCAAGGCAGAGGAGGCCTGCTGACAGTATAGGTTGTGAAAAGGGTAGTTAGAGCCTCGGTTCAGTTGTGCGTGAAGTGTGAGATTCCAATCCAACGCATCGGGGCCCCAAAGCTGCGGAAGGAATCACAACACAGAGCAGAGGAACAGGTTTGGCTAATTCCTGTGACAGAAGGTTAGTAGTGTAAAATCTTTGTTTTATGTTCCAGTAACAACAGGGGCTACGTCCACTATAACGGCACAGGCCGAACGATTGAGGAGCTGTGCGAAACCAGCAACCTATCTGTGTTACAAGATGTCAACTCAACCCCTACCTTACTTCACAGAGCCCACTTGACTCTCAGCCGGCCTGATCTCACCATCTGCTCACCCGACATTAAAAACTCCTGTCGCATCGAAGTGATTGATGACATAGGAAGTGATCACAGGCCTATCGTTATACAGATCACCTCCCTACCTGCATTGAACCACCCTCAGAGGACTCAAAGGATTTTTAAGAAAGCCAACTGGGCAGAATACGAAAAGATCTCGGACGAATTGCTCTCTAGCATAGCAGAAACAGAAGATGCTGATCTTTTTAATGAACAAGTCCCCAAAAATATTCTTAAAGCTGAATCTCAGCATATTCCACGGGGATGCCGAAGAAATTTCAAACCGTTTTGGGAGTGAAGAAATCCAGACTGCTGTGGCAGAAAGAGAGAAAGCCAGACAGTCATTTGAAAAATCACGATCACCAATAAACAAAATACACTACAACAAGACATGCGCTCAGGTGAAAGTGACTGTAAAAAAAGCCAAAAAAGAGAAATGGACTCAAACCTGCAAAGATCTTGACCTTCGCCACAATGGAACAAAGGCTTGGTCCCTTGTCAGCAACCTCTCGGATGAAAGACAAAAAAAGCAACCCCAAACCTTTTTTTCCTTTGGCAGCACCATCACTGAAGACCAGAAGAAAGCCAAACATTTTAAACGGTTTTTCGCCTCTGTAAACAGGGCAGACAGTTGAGACAGACTAACCGAGGAGACTCCTCATAAATAGGGCTGAGCATAAAGAAAAAGCAGGGCGAAAAATCTCGGGGGGCCCGTGTGCAAGTTGCGCACGTTAAAGATCCTTTGGTGGTCTAAAATCGATAAGAGTAGGCTTCGGCCGCCACCCGGGCTAAATTCAAAAATTTCCTACCAACTGAAAATATTAGATGTGTCCCGCGCGCTCATATGACCTTACGCAGTTGCGAGCGCCGTAAAACACTTTACAAAATACAAACAAAGAAAAAGCCCCTACTGTGAACAACTCGCTTTTTGAAGAGGATCATATTATAGCATGATGATGGAACTCAGTCAGGCCCTCAAAAAGCTAAAGGAAAAGACAGCACCAGGACCAGATAAAATGCGCAACGAAATGCTCTGCAACCTTGGTGATAAAGGAAAAGAAGTTCTTCTTTCCCTGATAAACACCACGTGGAGAACGAGTGGAATACCAAAGGCATGGAGGATCGCCCAGATTATACCGCTCCTAAAAAAGGGGAAACCAGCTGGAGAAGCGCAAAGCTACCGACCTATCTCATTAACATCATGTATCGGTAAGATTGCTGAAAGAATGGTGAACAACCGCCTCTACTGGTACCTGGAAAACACTAACAGTAACAGCTTAAACCCACACCAAACAGGTTTCAGAAAAGACAGCAACACAGAAGATCAACGTTTTAAACTGAGTCAAAACATCCAGGATGGATTTCAGGAGACTAAACACACTGTCGCCATCTTTGTAGATCTCCATCCAACAGACGTACGACAGAGTGTGGAGAAAAGGCCTACTCATGAAAACGATGGACCTCGGGATACATGGCAAACTTTACAAATGGATCCAGTTCTTCCTGTCGGATCGAAAAATTGAAACCAAGGCAAGCAATGCCCACTCGTCAAGAGAAGTACTCGAGGAACGCTTTCTTCAACGTTCCTGTCTGAGTTGCACTTTGTTCCTGATTAGATCTTCTTTAATGATGTAGCGAACGTGCTAAAATCAGAAAAGACTCTTTATGATTTATGCCGATGATTTTGCTCTCTGGTAGACACATCACAGCACGATTGTAGAAGCAGGGAATTAAATGAAGACCTCAAGAGGCTCCACAATTACTGTCAGAAATGGAAACTTAAAATAACCTGCACGAAAACAGTATACACCATCTTTACGAAGAGCCAAAAAGCAGCCAAAGAAAATCTCAAACTAAAGATAGGAAATGAAAATGTCCACAAAGAAGAACATCCAACCTAACGTAGGAGACAAACTTGACCATAGTCTGTCCATGAAAAGCCAAGTGGAGAACATAAGGAAAAAGGCACAAATAAAAGGGCTCCAACTTTTTAAGAAACTCGCAAGCAGTTTATGGGGATCAGACAAACAAACTCTGAGAGCTCTATACCTTGGTTATGTCCGATCTTCTCTGGAATACAGCGACAGCTTACTCACTATGTGCAATACAACTACTTGCAACACCCTTGACAAGGTCCAAAACGATGCCCTTCGTTGTTTTAAATGGTGGCACGAGATCCACACCTACCGCCGCGTGCAAAATCCTTTCAAATGTTGAACCCCAGGGAATCCGCAGAAGTAGTTTTTGAGCTACATGAAAGAACTATAAGAATGTGCCCCAACCCCCCAAACAGGAAATTAGTAGAAACATGGAAACCAAAGAAACGAATTCAACAAAACAGTCAACCAAAACATCCCTCCCCACTTTTCTTTTAAAAAGCCTATCATTACAACATCGCTCAGAGACAATAGCACAAAATCTTCAGACCCAGTGACGCTGATGCTTGCATCACATCAAACAATCGACAGCTATTCAGATGAGTGGATACACGTCTATACGGACGGCTCAGCATTCAAATGCTCAACCAAAGCCGGATATGGAATACTAATACAGTACCCAGATGGAAGTTCCAATGAGGTCTCTGCAGCCTGTTGAGAGAAATGCAGCAACTACGATGCAGAAATGATGGCAATTGAAACAGCACTGTACAATCTCCGCATGGTTTTTGACACTCATCCTGGAAAAGCACAGAGTATTGTGATTTTCACTGACTCACTATCAGTCTTACAAGCCGTAGAAAATGACCATCATCTAAACCGAGATTTGACTCAAAATATACCGTTTGGCTCCCATCATCTTATAACATTCTGTGGCACCAACCTAGTAGCGCAGTGGGTCCCCGGACACTCAAACATACCTGGAAATGACAGAGCAGACACACTTGCCAAACGGAGATCGAGACAGGAACAACCCAACATTCCAACTTCTTACAACACTGCAAAACAAATTAAAAGCAACAACAAACAATATTGGATGAACAGATGGGCCCTTTGATAGACAGACACAGCAGTTTTCAAACATATGACCACAACAAAAAGGAATGACAATATCAACCACATACAGAGAAAGAAACAGACCTCAATCTTCCGCCTACGAACTACGAACAGAACATATACCGCTCAACTCCCACCTGAACAGAATAAACCCGGAACTTCCCCCAATGGGTCCCTTGTGTGACTGTGCATAATATGAGACTGTGGATCATCACCTGTTTCACTGCTCGGCCCTAAATAACATCAGACTACCCTTCTCCCTCCGAGACCTAACATTGACAACACACTCTATGGAACTTTACTGCAACTGCAGCAAACCTGCACTTATCACTGCATGGCATTGGACAGAAGGGCGAGAGCCCAGCTGTTGCTGGATCGATAACAACAACAACAACAACAACAACAACAACAACAACAACAACAACAACAGCAGCAGCAGCAGCAACAATAACAACAACAACAACAACAACAACAACAACAACCATTTTCCCAAAATAAGCTAGCAATATTTGATAAGTGTAAGTGGCAAGTGGCGATCATATTTACTATCAGTCATCTGTATTTTTGTTTTTTAATTTTTTATTGTTTTTAAATTGTTTTACGGCGCTCGCCACCGCATAAGGTCATATGAGCGCGCGGCACACATTAAACATGTTCAGTTTGGTAGGAATTAATTTTTTAATTTTGCCCCGAGAGGCGGCTTCAGCCCACTCTTCCCGGTTTTAGGACTTGCACACGGGACCTCCAAAATTTTTCATTTTCACCCTTACCCGAGAAGGCTACATGTTCGATCTTACGTACCCTAAGATCAGGGGTGTTGCGGAAAGACAGCACAAAGGAGAATTAATGAGTAGCAGTTGAAAGGCTGCAGAAAAATTCAGGAGCCCAGAAGAGGGGGGTGGGGGGTGGGGGAGAAAGTGGAGACAAAAGCAGACTATAGAACATAATTAGAGAGCAAGAAAGGAGGTGAACGGAGAAATTTCTCTAATTTTCTCGTCGCTGTCAGGATTTGAACCTGGAACCTATTATTGAATGAGAGGCGAGCACCCTAGCTACCCCAAGACCACGACGCGAGCCCACGTCTGCATCTCTACAATAGCATCAACACATTTATCATGACGCGGTGGAATCAGGCGCTCGTCATTTTATGGGAATGTGGAGTTATTGGTATATCCGTAGCGCTTGTTTATTTGTCCTTTTTTTTCGGTGAAGAAAATACCCATCTGTCTTGATTGGGGTTAACCTGTTTTCTGAGGTAAAAAAGAAATGCGAGAAAATGGTCGTCAAGGTTTTGTAACTTCTATAGCTTGAGAGTCCTTGAAAACTGAAAATTTACATATTTTGTGTTATAACCAAAGTTGTTCAGTAAAATTCACACGGAAAAGTAGTTTTATGGACGTGTAATGTGTTGAGTCCAAAAGATATAAAAATTCGACACAAATTGCCAAACTTGAGGGGGAAAAATGTCTGTTTCTTCGATTTTATTGTTTTAACGAGCGCCTGATTTCACCATGATGCCTCACAAAATTATTTAGTCTGATTCTGTACCGTGGCCGACGTATACAGGGCGCACTATCGGCTCTGTTGGTGTCATTCTAGATAAATATAATAATTATATATGCTGATAACCCGGGTGAATCTGCCTTCAAGCTTTGAACATACAGGTTGTTTGAGGCAGTTTGGGATTCCCATTGGAAGTGGACTTATGAGATAGTATGAAGGAAGTTTAATGGTAGCGTCCAGTTTTGATATCTGATATTTTCTCTTTATAAGTAGGCTATAAAAGCTTTTTAGAAAAATGTATTAGTATAATGTTATTTTATGCTGGATTTAACAGTGACCATTATGTTAGAGCCGGGGTCCACAGCGTCAGCACTCACACTTTATCACGCTTCATCACAAATTGCGTACATTAACGTAGCGGGTTGTCGAAGCCGAAGGATTTATCCAGATCGCAACTGGCCTCGGACTGCTGATCTTCAACGGTCATGTTGATGAACAGTGCAGCCTTCTTCACCTTCTGTTCGGCGTACTCATAGTTCAAACTTTCCATCGTAAGTACTTTGCACTTGGTCGACCTCACTGGGGAGTCAGAAATGACGAGGATAACGAACTACACATTCTCTGAACGACGTTAACATTTCTTGAAAAGGTCCGGCACAATCTATATTTTTCTCAACTAATGAACATTAATTAGGAAACGTTGCTAGGAAAGAAAAGTGAACAGAGCCTTTTGAAGAAATAAAATAAGCTTCGTCAAGCACCTTACATTTTGCTTATCACAACGAATCAAGTGTTCTTACCGGAGACATGTGGGTTGTTGGCAGGTGGTGATCTTGTGTGGTTTGCACCTTTCCTAACAAACATCTGTCGTCCTCTACTTTCTGGCGGGTTAGTTAATTCTCTTATAACAATATTCGGCACTTATAACATTATGTCGCAAGTGTAATAAAACTTACTAAAACTTACCTGGGAGATAACAAACTTTGAAAGCAGCTCGACAGCCGTGATTCACCCACAGGGTAGCTTTCTGGTATCCGAAGGATTCACCCAGGGTACACTCAGTCGCGGACTGCCGATCTACGACCGTCATGTTGAGGACCCATGTGGCGTTTTCCACAATCTTCTCGGAGTACTCGTAGCTCCAACTTTCCATCCTGATTACATTGCACACGTCCGGACCCTCTAGGGAGTTAGAAATGTGGAGAGCAATAGAGGTGGAGGGGCAACAGAAAAACAAAAACATCAAATTAATTTTGGCATGAAATGAAGAGGTAACATGCAATGATCTATATTATTTATTTTACAAATTTCTAATTTTTTTTCAACCAAGACGTATTCATATTTTTTTTATTATGAGAAAGAAAAGCAAACAGCTTTAGTGTGAAGAAGCAAGTTGTCAGTATTTTGTCTTTGTCCCCCCTCCCTTTTGCAATTTGACCCCCAGCTTTTCATGATGTGATATTATTATACCATTCTGTCAGTTCCAAATAGCAAGACTCTGCGTTGTGCTAACCGTCTTAGTGGCACTGCTGAAGTTAGTAAAACAGTAGCTAAAAATTGGTGTACTTCCAGCCACCTTTTTTTCAAACAACTTTGAAAAGATATTGGCAACTCAACACTAACATAATTCTATACTTTTCTTTCGGTAAACTCTATTCTGTAAACGGACCTCTTAACTGCATGTTAAAATTCTAGTTTTCCAAAAGGTACTGACCGCACGCTTGTGTCGCAGTCAGGACGGAGAAGAGGACGAGAACTACAGCGGCGCTCATCTTGTCTTGTTTTGTTTTTTTTGCTTTTTGTTTTTTCCCTTGGGCTTCATTTGAGCCTTTATTTTATTTTTTGGGGTTTTACAACAAAAACATAACACCACAAGAGCCATCCA